GAAATTTTTGCAAGAGTTGGGTTTGAATTAAGAAAGGTATGTGCTTTATTGTGATAGTCAAAGTGTTATTCATTTGAGTAAAAATTCTACTTTTCATTCGAGATCAAAGCACATTGATGTAAGATACCATTGGATCCGTGATGTATTAGATTTGAAATTGTTGCAACTCGAAAAGGTTTACACAGATGATAATATTTCGGATATATCGACTAAGACTCTATCGAGGGACAAACATTTGAAGTGTTGAACTTTGGCAGGTATGGTTGATGTCTCTACCTAAGTCGGTAGGGGGGAATTGTTAGGTATACCTAACCTAATGGGTTTATTAAAAATATTTAATTTGATTTGGTGTTGGTTATAATATATTTTATATATTATATCTGATTTTTAGAGGCCTAATGGGTATTTAATAATCTGTTTGGTAACAGCTAGGGTTTTGATAAAAAAAAACCCAAAAATCAACAATATTTTTTGTATTGTTTAGTTTTCTAAAAAGGAGCAGTTGCTATAACATTGAAGATATATTCAGTGGAATCAAATTTAGGTTAGATAGTTCTGCTTTTCGACTGCTGTTTGCAAGGTTTCTTTGCTTCCTTTTTTGGGCTCTTTAAATCACTGTCTATGTGCATATTTGGCTACTTTAGTGAAGATTGATTTGGATCTATTATTTTGGGTCTTCTACCACTCTGTTTTGAAAATTTTTATTCATCTATTTGATGAGATCTTTTCTCTTATTTATTTGTGATTATTTGGAATTCACCTAAGGGTAGTTTGTGAGACTATTTATGTCTCGTTTGTAATCGTTTGAAAACTTTTGGTTGATAGTGGAATTGAATTTCAATCTCGTAGACGTACCTCACATTGAGAGAACCACATAAAATTCTTGTATCGTTGATTTAATTTTTTTACATTAATTTTTATTTCTATTGAATGATTTACTTGTGGGAAATCATCTATTTTCCCTCACAATATGGTTATATTCATGACTCCATTCACTATCAATATAGCCAAGCTCCCGATTGACACGCCTGACACGGCTAATTCAACTACTATAAAAAAGTTACTTTTGCAAACAAAAAACTCACGATTGTGTTAGTTGATTTTCAATACACATCGCTCAATATTTTCGATACCGTTTCACTGCCACTAATACTAATTCATCTCCAAATATTGCTCTATTTAATTTTTTTTTTTTTTCTTAACTAATTGTGTGCCTATTGTATATGTTGTTGAAAAGAATTTAGTTGTATCAGTATTCGAAAGCAGGATGAACGAGCTCCACACTACACATTCATGGAAATTCCTTGGAATGAATTCTATTAACCACTACAATCACCTACCGACGAACTCCAAATCGAACGTTGTTGTCGCCATGATCGACTCCGGTAATGCTCCTGTAAAATCTTAGTGATTCACTTGCTCCACTTCTATTGCTTTGTGTAAGCATCAATTTGATATTTCATTACTTCTCTCATTTTCTAATATATTTATGTAATTGCCATAACCAAGACCTTATTTTTTTCCTTATTATCTCCAGGGGCTTGACCAAAGTCCAAGAGCTTCAACGATGAAGGCTTAGGCCCAATGCCAAAAAAATTTAACGAAGAATGTATAGTTAGGAAAAATTCACATTGTCCAACTGTAATAGGTAAATTTGACATTTTTTAAAATTATTCAATAGCTTCAAAACATGCGACATGTGCACGTGGTATTCTCAATCAATAAAAATGTAAAATAGAATGGATGAAATTGTTTTTATCTCTTACCGGTGATTGTAAATATCAGTCAATACGTATCGTACACTACAGGAAATTCGTTTTTTAGCGGCAAAAAGCCTTAAAAACGCCGTAATATCTTATTGCGACATGTAAAATTGTCGTCGCTGATACGACCGCCTCAATAGCTACTCAACGTTTAAAAAACGTCGCTAAAAATATTAGACGGCGTTTCTTAAAACGCCGCAAAATCTTTGACGACCGTCTCACCCTCCGTCCCAAATTAACGTGTGACATCATAATGATGTCATTTAGTGGCGTTTCAAAAACCGCCACTTTTTTCTTTTTTCTTTTTTTTTTTCTTTTTTTGGGTTGGGTGGTAAGAACTAGAGGTCCAAAGACCAATTCCTGAACACAGATAGACATTTTGACAACAAATTATAAACCCACCACTACATCAAGCAGCTGCATTCCAATTCACACAAAAATTATCGGATTAAAACAAGCCTAGGTATCAAAGTGGAGTAGTAGACAATTAAAATAATTTATAAACAAAAAAGTTTACCAAACATGTTTAAATGGTAGTATTAAATTTTTTTGTAAACATAAACAAGAAATTGAAAGCCTAAACTTTACCAAACAGCCTTCACATTCAAATAAAATTTTTCAAATGCATTGAAGCATAATGAACCATAAATGACCAACTTTTCTGTCAGTTCAGTGAGGCTGATTCATGGCTTGTAACAGAAAGATATCACTCAAACAAAGCAATGCCTTCATAAGCTCATTCTGTTTAAAGGTCACAATGAAGCCAATCAAGCCCACAAGGAATAGGGAAATCTTATAACAGTTCCCAAGAACACTGAAAAGATTTAAATTTCAATTGATATAACAATAGATCATATACACTACTAGCATTGAAAAATGATATTGTGCACACTATATTTATCATTTCTGAGACCCATACAAAATCACAAAAAAGGCCGTGTGTGTGGATAAATCCAGGGTTGAGAGAGCGATGATCTTGTTGCGTAGTCATGCCTGAGCAATTTACAGCAAAAGAATCCGAACAATGTATCCAAAGCCGGTGATTTGGACCATCCAAAATTCCAAAAACAGAACGGCTTTTGCTCCAGCAATCAAGGCCAAATCAAAGGGGCATATGAACCTAACATAAGCTTGATTGATTGTCCTGAATTACCTCAGAAAAACATCATTTACAACAGAGAATAAGTCCCAGAATTAAACAGTCAAGACAAGTTACAAGTTTTCCTAAACCAAATAGTAGATCAAGTTACAGAAACAGATGTTGGCGTGTGGACAAAAAAGGGTAAAGGAAGGTCTGATACTAAATCACCATACCTAATACCGAGACTAGATATACAAAATCAATCAGAGTAGGACCTTAAAGTACTTATATAAAAATACACTATAGTCCACAGCCAGTGTCTACAGTTCCACGATAGACATTCAGACAGTATGCCGCCTTCAAAAGAAAACCTCAGTGACATGCCTACCACTGCTTCATAACAGCCATTGCCAAAAGTTAACCAGGAGACAGGATGATAGATATTCAACCATCTTAGACAATTTATCCATCATTAAAAAAAATAAATAAAAAGAAGAAGAAAGAAAAGAAAAATCTTAGAGCATTACGAGCAACAAAATGATTGCATGCCCAAATTTTCATCATTGTCTAATAACAAGCAGAGGTACATTTGGGACAGCAAAACAACAGGAGATTACTTCCTTTCTTCACAGTGGATAAATGGTATAAACGGAAGTGGGAGACAACTATGGTTCCAGGATAAATCTGTCAATTTGTTACATTTAATTAAAGCTTTTGTCAAGCCTAACAATATGAAAAGGTAACAAGTTGTAACCTTGAGAATGCATCAATCACTCAACTGGTATTCCAATTCATATAGCAACTTATGATTATTATGACATGAAATGAACAAATATGATATACACGTGTGAACTTGACTTTAACATTCAGCCCAACAAACATTATCAGGATTATTATAACATGAAATGAACTAATATCAGATACACATGTGAACTTGACTTTAACATTCAGCCCAACAAACATTATCAGGATTAGGAAATAAGACAATAACTCCATAGCATAAATATTTACCTTTTCCAAAGAGTAAAACTAAAAGGTCCTAAAACAATTGGTAGACAATGAATAAGCATTAATCTTTATTAACCACTTATTAAAAAAAAAATAGTTTAGGGCACAATGAGTCTCTAACTTCTAATAGTAGACTTGCTAATACAGCAGTCATTGTGATCCAATTGTACAATCAAGATAATAACAGATCCGAAGTAACCCAGAAACAACGCATTTCTCAATCTAAATGCACCAACAATAATATAATGGTCAACATGTGCCTAAAACATTATCACAGAATTAAGCTTTATCTCCATGAAGGACTTGGCTTGCTCCACATTAGGATTCCAAATGAAATTCCAAGATCCATAGAGGTGTGCATGAACATATGTATATACTATATGTTCACAAAAAATTAAATCAGATTTAATGTTGTAGTAACCTCACCTTATGAAGCAATGTCCTGCGACTTGTCATATGTGGAGTAAGTGCTGGAATTCTTGAAACAAAGAGAGCATCAAAAAACAAAAGAACAATCACTTGCCACTGCTTCATTCTGAATGGGAGAAGTGGATCAATAAAAGACATCGTATCCAGCAAGTGCCTCTGTAAATAGAACTTCTGTTAGAGCATCTAAAACCCTTCACCAATTTTTCATCAAAATTTATTCAAAATTTGAGTAAAAAACTAGATTTGATATAAACTACTCCAATCCTTTCATCAAAATCTTTTAAAAATTCCCCTCTTCTCCAATGCTTTATATTTTCAAATTCAACAAATAAGTGAGAAGGAGAAAGCAATCCAACTAGAATGGCTTAGAATGAACCTGAGTTTGTCATATCTACTTCTTCTTCTTCTTTTCTTTCTTTGATATGTGAACCTGCATTTGGTAAGAACAAATAACATGAATAAAATGTCATATGAAAATTTCATAATTAACTATTTACTCACTTCCTCAGATGAACGATGGCAATTAAACGATGAGATATATGCATGGGATTGTTGTTGTGAATGCACATGTGTAGCAGCTGGTGCAACAAGCCCACCCATGGCCTGTTGAGACTCCAATTGCTCTATTTTGTTGAGCTTGGATTGTGCCTTGCATCTCCATTTGTACTTTCTGTTGATTAAGCATAGCATCCATCATCTCTTTCATTTGCATCTCCATCTGTGCTTTATATTGGTTAAGTTGCTCTTGGACTTGCATTTGGATGATACGAGTTTGTTCTTGCGATTGCCTATATCCGCCTCCAAAGACATCTGTCGAAGAAGGACCCAATCCATATATTCGAACACGACCAGGTCGCTCAGGCCCTAGAACCTGTGTGATAATTTCTTCATCTGTAGCATTGGATTGCGCCCCAAGATCCTTCATTTGTGTCTACAATTGTTAATTAGTAATTAGCCACAAATAAAATTCAGCCTACGAGCAAGACATAATTAGTTAATTCTCACTTCCAATTTGCAGGCACTGTTAAAGGTAACTCTCTATCAAATTTAACTATCTACTTTGTCTCTCTTCAAGTTTAGATTTCTACTTTATTCATCAGGTAGTTTCTACATCAAATCTGTTCATAGTCTCTATGATTCAACTCACACTTGTGTGCCTATGTGGAAAGGTATATATAGTCTGCTACAGAATTGTGATATTTGCCCGATTGGTTTGGAGTAAGTGGATTGTTACTTGTGATTTACTGATTAAAACCAAACAAACTACCAGTAAAATTTAAACAATTGCAAAGCACAAATTATCATCCTCATCAATAAATACACCAACCAAAAATAATTACCAACTACCTTATATATATGTTAGTAGTAGATTTATGTCTTTAATTCAATAAGAGTTCAAAATTACTTGGGTTGATATCATAATCATAGCTCCACTTAGTCTCTAGAGTGAGCACTTGAAATGATTTCTCAAACTAATCATAGCTATCAATGTTCTGCAAAATGCATTATTATAATTATGGTGCTACATACCATGACCTCAGCAACTTTATCATTACTTGGTTTGTTATCCTTCGAGTACCCAGCCATCCACACCTCTAAGCGAGTTGCAGGAACTCTTTTCTTCTTATTAGTTTCCTACAATTACACTTAAAATTAAGTAACAAAATCAAAATATACAATTTCAATTTGAAATATAAAGAAACTATATACCTCTACTCGAACAACTGAGAATGGTTTTCTGCCAGTTATGTGATTTAATGTCTTCTTCTTCCGAATTTCTTTGTTTTTTGTACTTTTTTTCTGTTACATATGAACAAAAACACAAGATAATTTATTAATTTAACAAACTCATCTTATGAGATTACGATAGAGATCAATAAACAATTTAAATGATACCTGTGCCTTTCGAGTGCCCCAATAATAGACTAAGCTTCGCCATTGATGCTCATGTACTCTTTTGGGTCAATGAGTTAACCTATCAGCATCGTTGTCGAATGGCGTATACCCCATTTGTTTAACTCTAGCCTTCCACTCTCTCCATTTTTTGCCAACAGATGCCAAAACAAATTTCTTCATTGACTCATCGGCATCTGTATTGACCTGCAAATAATTGGCAACTTTGTGACTATATATTGTGCCATGCCAGATGACTGAAGACTGAAACTCTATATTTCAAAAGCTGTTTTCAAGATCACAGGCTATGTTGTTTGAGGTTAACACGACGAGAAATATTGGATGCATACCCATCTGGAACTTTGATATTCTTCAAGAGTGTACAAAACAAACCTCTCTCTCTATTGTTCATAGCAAAACATGCAGGCGGCAAATAATACATGTTCCCAACCCCTTTTTTAGGATGTAATGCCTTTCGAATTCCCATAGCTTGCAAGTCTCGACGAGCATTTAAATTATCCTTTCCTTTCCTATCAACATTTAATATCGTCCACAATACATTATCACACACGTTCTTCTCAATGTGCATTACATCAAGATTGTAGCGAATCAAATTATGCTCCCAATATGGAAGCTCAAAGAAAATACTGCTCTTCCTCCAATTATGATCCTCCTCATTGTCCTCTTTTTCCTTTCCTTTCCTAGTTCTTTTTTGTCTGTTAGTTGGTTGATGCTTAGGCCCTAGCTGTCGTAACACATTAGCCCCCGACAACCGAGTTGGACATGGTTCAAATTCAGAAGTTCCATCAAAAGACGCACCATCTTTTCAAAATTTGTGACTCGCATTCAACCAGCGGCGATGCCCCATGTAACAAATTTTCCTTCCATTCTTCAAATACCGATGTCGAGTACGTATGTTACAACAAGGACAAGCTAAAGTACCTTTCGTGCTCCATCCAGACAAATTTGCATATGCAGGAAAATCATTTATTGTCCACAGTAAGACCGCGTGCAATTGGAACATTTGATTAGTTTCTGCATCGTACGTCTGAACACCATTTTCCCACAATTCAATCAGTTCATCCACTAACAAACGCAAGAAGACATCAATGTTATTGCCAGGTGAAGAAGGACCATCAATGAGCAATATCATCATCATATGAGGTTGTTTCATGCACAACCACGGTGGCAAATTATAAGGCATTACAATAACTGGCCAACTGCTGTAAGCAACATTCATTGCCTTGAATGGATTAAATCCATCCGCTGCTAAATCCATCCGCTGCTAAACCTAGTCTGACATTGTGAGGCTCACTCGCAAACTTGGGATACAAAGTATCAAAATTTTTCCAGATAGGAGAGTCAGCAGGATGTTTCATTTTGCCATCATCAATTCGGCCCTCTACATGCCATCTCATTAATGAAGCAGTTTTGGATGACATGAACAATCTTTGAAGCCTTGGAATCAAAGGAAAGTATCTCACAATCTTCTGGGGAATTCTTTGTTGCTTCTTTTTATAATCATTCTTCTCACCCTCAAACTGTTTGTATCTAGGCGTCTGACACACTATGCAATCATCCCTACTAGCTGTCTCATTCCAATACAGTGAGCAATCTCTTGGGCATGCATGTACCTTGTGATAATCGAGGCCCAATTCCTTAAGGAGTGCCCTCGTTGCATAGAACGACTTTGGCAAAGTTTCACTTTTTGGGAATGCATCCTTCAAAAGTTTAAGCAACATCGTGAAAGACTTGTCGCTCCATCCACTAAGGCACTTGATATGTAATAATTGAACAACAAATGACAGCATTGAAAACTTGTGACACTCTGGATACAACTCTCTTTCGGCCTCCTTCAATAAACTGAAAAATCTTTCAGTTTTCTTATCCGGGCCTAGTTCAATATTAGAACTTTCTGTCTCATTACTAGCAAGATGAACCAAGCTTGGTGGAGAAAGTCTGAACCCCTCATATATCATTTCATTGACTTCATCGCCATCATTCGAATCACTGACATTCTCATTCAATGGCACAGACGCCGGTAAATCTTCTCCGTGAAAAATCTATCTGGTGTAGCTTGGAAGACACCCATTGACCATTAAATGTTCCCCCAAAAGGTCTTTATTTACTAGTTTGACATTCCGACACCGTTTACATGGACATGTGACTTCATTTGATAGAGGATTATTTTGGCATGCAAGTTTAACAAATTCCTTAACCCCTTCTATATATTCTGGATGCAACCTATGCTGATTTATCCAACTTTTATCCATCTGACTTCGTCTTACACTACAAATGTCACTACCAAATCAACAAGGTTCAAAATTATCATTTCATTTTAATTATTCTTAACCTCAATTAAGTACATTACAATGCATGCGACATGACACCATTCACCGCTAACTCTTCTCTAATAGGTTGGTTCATCCTACTTTCCCATTCAGGAATGCACAGTCTATATTGTAAAAAGTAGCTCATACCACTCTATCCATCTCTAACAAAATTTCGGCAGCATCTCCCCATGATTCTCCAAGTACACGACATAGACTAGGTGTACTGCTACACCTTGCCTAGTATGCACTCAGAGAACATGAGAAGCTACTACACGAAATCTCTACGAGATGGACTACATTTAAGCGGTAGAACTACTAATTACAACATAGACTTGTGCTCCTGAACTGTCCCAATTGGACAATCCAAGAAGAGCTTCATCAAAGATGACTAGGTATCTCTAATGAAGATTCTTGGACGGGTCTAAGGCTATTTATGTATGCATGGATAATTACTTGCTAAATTAACAACTATCATGATTATTGCATCCCGGTGGTGCAACCTGAATCAAAACTATCAAGCATACTAGAAGCATTTCTAGCATGAAGCATATTAATGAAGAAACTAAAAGTTTCTACAATGCTCTTGATAGATTATGATATAGAGATTCATAAAAAATGACTAGGTATCTCTATTTATCAAAAAAAAAAAAAGACTAGGTATCTCTAATGAAGATTCTACAAGAACAACCAGATTATCACAAGTAAAGAATACCAAATGCTTATCGTCCTACCATAACAAATTAACAACAATATCAGTTACTAATTATAAAGTATAATATTAGTCCCATTCACAAGACGACAATAATACAAGCAGCCATAATTTAACAGATGAAACATAAAGTAATTTAAAAGTAACACAGTTTACACACTATATTCTGTTTAATCAAAAAGAGTAATAGAAATAATCATGAATGTGATTGGAAAAACCCACCTGTCTGCCCCTTGAAAACTTTTGAGAGACACCTGCAAACAATAAATTACATTATTATAAACTCACTTTAAAGCATAATGATTCCCAAATGGACGATAAAAAGTAAGGAAGAGGAAATCTCCAAATGCATGTCAGCCAGATCTTTGACAAGATTAGAACCAAACACATAAGGAGGGAAAGGTAGGCTTCAAATATCTTTTTTGGTTATTCCTTTCCAAAAATTAATAATAAAAAAAAGATTATTCCTTTCCACGTGATAAGAAATATTCTTTTTTGGTTATTGAAAAAGTTGGGTGGAAAAGTTAACTCTTTTTTGTTTTTTTTATAATATCAATCAAGCATATATATATACATTGCTCAAATTTTTATTTTTTTAATTTTTATTGAGCAAATTGCTCAATTGTTAAAATCTAACTTTATCTAGCTTTAAGGTAACATGAAATTTAACTGTCATGAAATTTATTGTGAAAAGATTTAATGGTGTTAAATACTGTGGATCATGGACCTGTAGTGAGCTCATAGGCCACTCAAATTAGTTCAAATTTGAAAACTAACCCTTTTTGTAAATACTTTTTTGAGTAGTTAACATTATTGTTTAAGATGAGATAGTATGATGAGGACATTTCTATTATGATCCTTTTATATTCTTTGTAGATGACAACAGGGCCACTCTCTCTTTCCAGGCAGGTCTAAACTAAAACAAATGGATAGCATATATGCTCTCTCACCTTTTTAGTACCCACTAACTCATTGTTCAAACAAACTATAGCCGAACAGGAAAAGCAAAAAAGGAAAAAGGGGATGAATAAAGAATATAAAAACAATAAAAACCTCCACATTTATTCAAAGCATCCCAAGCAAGAATAAAAACAACTTAGCAATTTGAAAAACATTTTCTAAGTTAAATCCAAGTTAAGCTAGGATATCTAGGTCTCTACCACCATGATGTCTAAAGCGGTATTATGTAAGAGAACCGAATGTGCTGCAAACTTTGATGTAATCATCATGACATGTGTGGCTTGTTACTAGTCAGTGATTCAACAAACACAAACCAAGACAAAAGTAGAAATGTCGTGGTTAGGTAGTTTTGACGAGTGTTGCAACTTGTAGACTAGCTCCGTTGCATCGATACTACAAGCATCTCTCTGTTACTTGCACATATGTATACTTACACAAGCATGTTGCATTAGTGGTGTTAGGATGCATAATTTCAAAATGCACAAAATTGACCAAACTAAAACTAGTATGAGAAAAATAGTGGTGTTAGTGTGCTGACCTCTAGCTTTGAAATTTTGAGAAAAATAGGATAGCCAGCCAAGGTTGGACGAGCATGACCTCAGGCCACTCAAGCAAACTATAGAGGGGGCGGCCTAGAGCAGACATATTGCAAGCCCTGCATGAAGCGTCTCTAAAACCCACTTGCGCAAAAGCATCATTCCATATTCCCTACAGAAGAATTACTGAGCTCTATTCCGGGGCATTGAGGGCACACCTAGATTCTAGTCTTATTAGGTTTTAACTAATACAAGTACATTACCTATAAACAATTGAACAAGGCTTTTTGCACACTCTTGAGAGAGAACCTAACACTCAACATTTTACAGTTTTTGATAAAGCCACATTGTTTTCAATCACTGGGCCTTGTGTTCTTCTAAACACAAAGAAAAGTTTCATGATCAAGCATTTTTCATAATTATTCGCACATAGTTATGCCACATACCTACTTTGGTTAATTATTCCTTGAGTTAGTCCAATTCATTCTCAATGGATGCACAAACAAGTCTTGCCTCCATGATTTCAATAATAAGTATTAGGGAATATGAGATGGGGGTTACAAGCAAGTATAGGTCAATTTTATACCCTTCAATTGGTAGAGTTCATTTTCATATTCTCAGAGGCAAGAAATAACATGCCTCAAGCACAACTCTGCAACGTCGTCTCCATATTCTTTCAGTCCCTGATTATGATGGTTTTTAATATATTTAGTAGGAAAGTTAAAAAAAAAAAAAAAGACTATTTGTATTAATACTCATAAGCACTTAATTCAAGACACGCCTGTATTAATGCATAATAATGATTGAATTGATACATAATCTCAAACAAGAAGCCAAGAGTTACAACTTTACATGCTAGAAGATACATATATATGGTTAGAAATTGATAAAAGGTTCGAATGGATGGATCCTTATCAAATTGGTAGTTGCCAAAACCA